GGTCCGAGTGTCTCAGCCCTAGGAAGGAAGCTTGCCATCAAATCTGGTGCCTGAGGAGGAAAAAATCAAGCTGGTCACTCTGAGGCAGTCCGAGTGGATGCCATTTGGGAGAATCACAAGAAGTCTCGGAGATCCTGAAAGTGAGAGTGGTGAGTGCAGCGTGCGTCTGAGCAAAAGAAGGACCAGTCCGCATGAATGTGATTCAATGTGGTGCGCATGCTTGATGGTTGTGCTAATTGTCTTACTGGGGGGGGTCTGGTTTTGTATTTTTCTCTACGCTCCCTATTTTAAACCTTCCTTTCCTATCTGTATCTCCCTCTCCTCTCCATCTCTCTCTCCAGCCACTGAGAAAGCCCCGCAGGCACAGGTCGAGCAAATAAGAGCCATCAGGGTGCTCACCGCTGAAAGACTCCCGTGAGAGGATAAGGGGGTCCCAGGTGTGAATCCCAGATAAATTCACGTCCCCCGCAGAAGAAAAACTGGGCAATGACAGGCACCCATCCACAAGCACACCCACTGGCCATCATTGTTTAGAGTGGCATCTTCACTTCTCCCTTTTCATCTCCCTCTCTCTTGTGTGACCTCCACCATGGGCCAGACTCAGGCCACTCCTAAAAGTTTAATTTTCTCACTTCTCGGAGGTGAAGGAGCAGGCTTTGAAATTGGGCCCTAGCATCAGGAAGGGTAAGTTTGGCACTTTCTGCTCCACTGAATGGCCCACCTTTGGAGTAGGTTGGCTGACCCAGGGGTCCTTTTCCCTGGACACCATCGGCAAGGTCAAGGCTGTCATTACCCGGCCTGACCCAGAGGGCCACCTGGATCAACTCCCCTATATCCTTTTGTGGGAGAATCTGGCAGAGGATCCCCCATCCTGGTTAAGGCCCCTCTTGGTGAGAAAGCCTAATGCTTGCCCACCAAAAGTCTCCAACATGGTCACCCAGGAAGGTTTGAAGTCCTCCAGTCGCAGAGGCGGGGATCCTAGTGCTCTGCCATTTCTCCCCGAGAGCTCCTCCCTCTACCCCCCTTTGCCTGTTGAACAGCCGCCACCTTATGCAGCTCCACGAGGAGGAGAAGTTGAGGCAGCCTATGGATGGGGGGATGGAGCTGGGGGTCCCCATGAGAATCCAGTGGTTGCCCCCTCCCCAGGCTCCTCTACAGGAGAGAATAGATGACCTGGGGAGGCGGGAGGGATGCAGTTAAGGTCTCGAGGAAACAGGGACCGAGTGGGGGAAGCTCCATCCTCCACCACAGGAGGAGCTGTGCCAGTTCTGCCAGTCCGAACAGTCAGCGGCCCAGATGGAGTTCAGCAGTATCAATACTGGCCCTTTTCCTCTAGCGATCTCTACAATTGGAGGACCCAAAATCCTCCCTTTTCTGAAGACCCTAAGTGTCTAATAGGTTTGGTAGAATCCATTATGTACACCCATTGTCCCACATGGGACGACTGCCAGCAGCT